TGTAATTTCTAGTTTCTGCAGTTGACATATGATACCGCATTTTGACATAGTTTTGGTTCGTTGGAATCTCATTACGTTCAGAGAATGAAACGCGAGGCGTCGCACTAAAGCGCGAACAAAATGCATGCGACATTATAATTAATTAATTACGTCTGAAACTTACCGATTGTGGTGAGCACTGTCAGAGAATAGAGAAACGCCTTTGCAAAGTTCCATTCGTATTCCGGCACACGGCGTTCCGTTACAGTTTCGCTGGTAGAACTCCCGGTGTATGTCCCGGCATTCTGGGTCGCCATCATGTCCTCCGTGATCCTTTTCACTAGTTGCTCTTGAAATCGTGCAATCTCCTGGTCGGCCAATTTCGTCCAGTTCTCACGGTAGAGAACGTTCAAATGCTCCGTGATTATCCATATGTTCTCCACGGTCTTCGTCCGGGCCTCGTGATTCATCTTTCATCACAGCAAAAGTTATTAATTAAGCGATGTTTGAAATGTCGTCAGGTATATCGTAGACTATGTTCGTCTTATAAGATTATAATTGACATACTGTCGATTAAATTAAATTCGCGCGCGCTCGTTAATTAACACACGTCAGGTGGATTTGAATGCAGCATGTTTCGAATTTTACATCTTGTGACAAATGGTGAACTCTGTGTAATTGCTTCGTTATTGGACAGCAGAAAATTCAGAAGTTTTGCACAGACAAGAGGCAAGTTAATAAAACGCAAGAGAAAATTGTTTTTTTTTTTAGTGGAGTAACATTAAAATCAGAAGAATTATTTATAAAAAGAACACGAATATTCAATCGTTTGCCGATGAGCGATTGCTATCGAGAGAACAATTCGTTGTTGCTATTATTGGCCGGAAGCAACAGACAGCAGCCTTTGTGCCGATGTCCTCGGGGAATACGCTTTTCCTGTAAAGCGTAAGGATAGCGGAAAGAAAGCACAATCGATAAAACTTCGTTGAAACGAGCGCTCGCGCCAGAACGCACCGATAATTCGATTGACTTCGGGTTCACTGAGGTCACCTCAGGTAGAAAAGCGGAATGAAACCGGAGACGTGACGATAAATCGAGAGCTGGTGCCGCCGGAACTGTTTGCTCCTCCTCGAGGGAAAGAGAAGCAAAAACAAGTTCATGGCTTACGTTCGCGACAACGGTAACGACAACTGTCATGTGCTCATAGTGTATCGACAAATCTGTTTACTCTTCTGCTATCATTCTTACTTTTATTGCACTTGCTTGCATGTACACATCCTACACAGTTATTAAGAAATATATCTATGACTTTTTATGTTCGAAAAACAGTTTCATATATCTTTGTTGAGTGGTCACATAACTTCTTATAGTCTATGATTTACAACTACATTTGAGCATAACGAGGATACTTCTTGAAAAGGAAGTTGCGCATGATTTAAAATATATTCCAATATTTTTCACTCGCATTAAAAGAGTGCAGCACGATATTTCTCAAAGAAAAGATAGCAAAATTACTACGAAAGTACTACTACAGTAAAATTTCTAATGAAAAGAATCAAGATATAGTAAATGTATAGAGCATTTCATCCTCTCACCTGTTTTATCCAAGCGCTGGTGTTCCTTCTAGTATGCTGATTTCCAGCTATCGTCGTGGCCAGAGTCCTCTGTTGCAGGCCAACACCATCAATGGTCCCACTCTCGATAGCCAGAAAGATGAAACTGCCCAATAGGGTATAAGCCACAAGAAGGGAGCATATTCCGATGTTTATGATAAACCCCTTCAAGAAAGAATGCTGGCTGGCTTTGTCAGGTACACCGCCGAAGCACAAACATCTCACTTGGCGAGATGGGTGCGTCTTCGAACGATCCGACGTCGATCTCTTTAGAGATGAGGTATTGCCGTTATTCGCCGGCTTGAAGCCCTCGTAAGCTCTATAATGTCTAACGTTGTCCTTCTCCATCTTCTCTTGTTTGTTCTATCTACAAAGTCACCGAGTCCTGTCGCCGTCAGTTTCGCATTTATCGCCGGATATGTCGTCGTACGCGCGCATTTGCCATCTACCACTTATTTTTGGTGATGATGGAGTTAACAGCCGAAGACGAAAGCTTCATCGGCTTTCAGTGACGCACGTGACAGAGTATCAAAGATTTTACACTTTGTTACCTGTTCGAGTGCGATCGCTAATTCGTTCACTATTTGCTTACATTCATTCGTTCGTCACGATTGCGCATAAAATTATCTCGGATTATCATATTTCACGATAACAAAGATTCTCGGCAGGAACGGAGATTTATAATAGGGTTTTCTTCGTACACGTATCCTCGAATCTCGTAGACTCAATCGCCACAGCCGCATGACTGAAGTTTCGCGCGAGCTATAATCTAAGGGACGGATCTTTCTTTGCGTTTTTTCGACTACCACTCAAATTCACCGACGTCATTCGGCCAGATGTCACTATGATTTTCGTCACTGTTGTCGCTTTCTTATTATGAGGCGCGGTCGAAATCGTTCAACTGAATGATGTCCTGGGAGAATCTTCTGACAGCAAAGGGACGCTCGATCGTACATAGCACGGGCACTTCCGTCATTTTTCCATAGCAGGATCGTCCTGGCTGGAATGTGGATTGGAATTCTATAGAGAAAATCGATGTTCGAAATATGTTCTATGATATTAGTTACCTCTCAGAACCCTTTTGTTGCGGACACTGATGGCTGATATTATAAAAATATTCTCTTACAAAGAAGAAGCTATTTTAAAGAACCAATTTATAAATTTAACTTTTTTCTAGCTTAAATATTTCAACATTACTACAATTAGTTTTATCGAGATTGTAATAATTAATAATGTTATGAAAGATAGATAAGTATTTTAAAAAACAATGGTTTGTTTAAATTTTTATAAGAAAGAGGAGATTAAATATCACATGAATAATTATTGTTCGTCGCATTCATTTGTGAGTGCGACATCAACTTGCGCGGTTAAAATGGCTCGAGTTATATGATTTAATTTAAGTTCGTAAACGAATGTCACTATACAAGTGTTACTTTTGCGCCGACTAATGCATTACCACGTAGTACGTCGAAAATGGATGAAAAATAACGCCTTCGAGAAACTGGGGCTGCTAATCTTTTCTCCCTTCCTCTCATCCTCTTTTTACTCTATATTTCTCCCTCTCATCGAGAAAACAGAAACTTAGAGAAAGGAACGGAGGAAATTTTCGAAAGAGTCTCTCCATGAGTCACTTAAACTTTCTCCCTACCATCTGAATGCGAAGCCGTTCAGTTTTCCGCTCTCCCATCTTTCCGTCGGCTTCGAGTGCAAAAAACGAACGGCAGCGGAAGAAGGTGGAGCACAGTTCGTCGGCAAGCGATGGAAACTTCAAAGCCTCATTTCAACAAACTGGATTTCCGTAATAAGTAAGTCCGATGCACGTTCGTGGGCGCTGGTTCGTGCTCACTGAATGTTTTAGCGAAGCTTTTTCCTTATTTTATCTCTTCGTCCTCGACGAATTTCCGCGCCGTTTTAATGCATCGTCGAGCTGTCTCGTGAGCGGTCTCTCTCTATAGAGAATTGGACTTTCCGCACGTTGGAAAGCCGATTAGCACAACCGAAGTCGAACCTGTAATTTACTTGTATCTTTCATGTGCCACGAGAGGTGCGCTTGCATTCACCGCATGTAAATAAATAAATTGGTGTTGTCTTCCAGATCCGGTCTATCTTAAAACTCAAGAACGTCGCCACTTTCGTGCTTCGCTGGGTCCTGAAAGAAGAAAAAGAAATTCGATTACTTACATTACTTTCCTCGAAAGAACGTTAAGTAATTAATGTTAAGACTCTCTACATCATTAATTCCGTGTCGCGATAATTGATTAATGTTTGCCTCACGATTCAATGAACTATCCATATGTGTCGCTCATATTTTTTTTACGGGAAATACTCGTGCTTTCGTAATATCAGAAAATTCAATGCACTCGGACGAATTTTATTTTCAGCCGGAATTTGTGAGAATCCCGACATCGGCATTGCTCGTCCGTGACTGTTTCGACGTCCTAAGAAAGACGGTTGAATTCCAGAAGGACTTTCGACGTAGAATTATTCGAGGGCCCTGGGGGAAATCGCGGGAAACTTTCGAGCTACGTGTTTTCCTGTGTACTTGCATTCGGTCACCTGGAGCTTTCCAACGGGGACAATAATCGACGGTCATGGTAGACTCTACTATTATGGGAAGTACAGAAAAAGGAGAACAGAGAATGAATCGAGAGACGAGCAATAGACGGCTGCGAGATAGAAGTCCGCAAATCGAGAGATACGACGATGGATTTCGCGCGGAAAATATTGCTTTCTTCGTACGTTCGACATCCATAAATGCATAGCAAGATCAACCGATCCGCGTCACCATCCTCTTTATTCTTCGCCGTGATTTAAGACGCGAGCTCGGGGGATACGGGCGGTTTTGAAACTTTCATGAAAAATGATTTACATAATGCGTAAGTCAGTGAATGATCCGCAGAAATGTAGTATAATATTTTCAATATTAAAATACGCAAAATAATATTGCGTAGTCTTCAGTAGTTTCAACGAATGCAAATAATGTCTTCCCCGTAATTAGACAATATTCTCTAATTAAATATCCCGGAATTAATTCTAATCCGACCATAACAATAAAGCCAGAATTGGAACTTATTAATAATAGCGAAGGAAAGTCAAATTCGGTCTCACTCACAGAATGAAGCGAAACATCTCCCGAAATTCACCCTCTACTGGTCATTCGCATTCATAGTTGTCTAAATATGCACAATGTACACAGTATTGTATAACGAGATCACTTCTCGACAATCACATTCACACGAATATAGTCGAAATAAGGATGTCGGATACTAACTCGACGCTAATTTATCGTTTGGCGTGATCGATTGTTGCGCTCGATCGACTTCCGTTCTCTGCGGCGAAGAAACGATCCCGCCGCGGAACAAACTGCCAAGCCAAGCTGCTGATCGTAAATCGGATCTGATCTCTCCTTCTTTCGTCTCGATTTGAGGCCCCCTCTCCCCTCTCTTTTTTACAACTTATTTACGAGTTTGCGGTTCTAACATCGCGAGCATTCTCAAAACCATTGGATGTATTCTATTGTTATTGTCTATCTTTATTTCTTACTTCCTGTTAATTATTATCGATATCTCTTTTAAGCTTGTATATCGTGTGAACGACGTTGTAAGACTGTGAAAACACTGGCGCGTAACAAACGCCATGCGCCTTCATTCTAAAGATGATAAAGGCATGCTTCGAGAGAATTAACCTCGATTTTTTTTTTCATAAAGTAACACTTATTGATCGGATATTTAAAGAAAGTATTCTATGAAATCCGCAATAATATATGTAATTTAAACTGTAAATTCCATATATTAATATTTTAAAACTTAATAATACAAAAGAAAATAGCTCGCAGAAAAAATTATACTGAATAAAAACAAATTAAAATGTACATGTTCCGTTTCCAGATTTTGTCCGATGTACTGAATACTATCACTTCATGGAATTTCGTGAAATTTCGTTGAAATTTCATCAAAATTAAAACTGCACGTCTCATGTTGAAACGTTATTTCAGAGATTGCATCGCAGCTGGCTCATACATTAGCATTTATAACCAATTCGCAACGAGAATCGAAAGATAACCAGCGCAAAAGTCGATTACATCACCGTCGGCGACGAAGGATAGAGCTTTATGGGGATGATTCTCGTAGTGCGGAAAAGCATAGATGGACAGGAGAAAGATGAGAAAAGACAGGGAAAGAGTGACAGCGGATCGAAAAATGTGCAAGAGAGAAACGAAATGTGAAGAGTAGAGGAACAAGGAAAGAGGCGAAATGCAATTTTTCCGTTCGGCGCTTTTTCCAGCGACAGGGGAACCACCTGTGCTCGTCTCAGCGACTTTTAAATTCGTACCACTGTGGGCTCTATTTGCTGAAAAATGTTTATTCAATTTCGTTTACCGGCACTGCAAGATATTTACCCGGTCGCTTTTGCTCGAACAGTTCTCGCACCACCGCGAACGATGGTATTGGACGCAAGAATACGATGAGAAGCGAGAGGGAACGGGGACGATCGGCTAACAATAAGTTCACGATGTGTATAAGATCACATTTTCCTTTGCTTCTAGAAAAGCTACATCACGAGAATATTAAAAATACATTTCAGTATTTGAAAAAAAGTTTGATGAATGACGTTGGCCCAGGTGTTGCGTCGATTTTAAATAATAAGTTTAAAGTAATGTTTGAGATTCATCGCGTAATAGAAATTTGGAGACAAATTGTAAGAATTATACGACGAATTGTATAGAAATCATGAGTCACGTAGAACATTCGAAAGCTTTCCCCGAGCGACGTACGATTGCATTTCGCGCGGATATAAATCCATAGAATAAATCGGGCGATCTTAATCATTGCGACGAAAATAGGGTCGTATATGCGGGCTGAATTACGATGAGTCGAGAATGAAGTTACGCGAGTATTCTCTCTCGACTCCGCGTCGACTTTGTCCGGTTTTGTGTATCAGCGAACGAGATCGCTGTCGGCGATAGAAATTTATGGCAGAGTCGAAACCCTCGAAAATTTCATTAAGCCGTCCGTATAGATATTGAGAATCGACGGCGAACCGATCGAAAATGGAAGTTACTATCACGATACAATATATTTGACGTGACCGCCTAGACTACGCGCAAAAAGTGAGTCTATGTGGTTTATGTACATATATGAGCCAATTAATCACTAAGAACAGCAAATATTTTATAAATATTTTTAAAAAGGTAATGCAATTTTTTTAAAAATTTTTAAAAGGTACCATTCATTTTTGAAATTGATGTTTTAAAAAGTTATTAAAAATACTATAATTCGAATAAAAATGCAAATCATTTGGATTAACATTTAATTGCACACAAGATACGTCAGAATTTCATTCTTTCA